TGGGAGTTCTGAAGGCTCTTTGTTGTTCTTCAAATCATGTGTGGGGGTTTAATGATGTACTTTGCACTGTAGATGTAAGTGTTTTTTTCATTTAAAAACTCAACTGCAATTAAATATTTGACTTGTGAGTAACTTTTTTTAATTGGCTCAACCCTTAACTGAAGTTCTGTAAAATGTTTTTTCCTTCTCTCTCTAAAAGCAGGACACCAGAGTGTGGTTGGTTTTACTGTGTTGCATGAGAATGTCCAGGGTCAGTTCATTGGGGCGTCCAGTCATTCTTAGTGATTGTATCTGAAAATGATGAAGAGCTATCCATTTTATATCACAGATTTCCTCAGATATCATATTGCGTGCATGATATGTGAATTTCTTAAAAATCCATCTTGGTTCTATATTCTTGCCTATCATTTCTTGGTGTAATCTCTGTTTTATGTTAATATATCATACATGTAGAACCATTTTATACATTTTAAAAACTACCTTCCAGTTGAAGTTGAACTTTCCAGTTCTGATATCTCAAGACTGGATTGGACAATCCTATTCCATTTGTTCTGTGACTACCTAATAAGATTTTATACATGTAAAACTCGTATCTGTGGCTGGCTTTTCTGGACAGGAAAAGACACATTATTGTCTTTAACATTGTTCCTTAACCTCTTAGTTGTTTTTATTACACTTTACCTCTGCTTTGTTCACTCATCTGTAAAATTGGAATTAATAATAGTGTGAACCTCGTGGTTTTTAGCTGTTAAATGAGGTGATCTTTGTAGATTGCTAACCATAGTCCCTGACATATACTACAACCTAACACGAAGGCTACTATTATAGATTTTTTTAAATTATTATTTTGTTCCAAAGTCTTGTGAATTCTGTAAAGATAGAGTTTTTTTCTATGAATGAATTAACTTTTCCACTTTTCTCTCTTTTTAAAATTTAGGAGTCAATTGTAAATTTTCAAAGTTGTTTTTAAATCTAATTTAATTATATTAAAGACCCATTATTGGTTATCCCTGAAAAGAAGTCTAAAACATTGCAGAGGCTTGTTTCTCAATTAGAGTTTACTAATGCTTGCCCTTAAATGACAGAGCATACTGAGCTCTGCAGAAAAGTTTTATTTCTGCTACTTCTTTTAGGGATTTTTTAATTTTTACGTTTTACTGTTTTCTTTTTCAATACTGAAGATAAAGCTCAGTATCTTCTTCCAGCGTTGGGATGTTGGTAAACCTCATTTTTTGTTCTTACAAAGTAGAAATTCGCCTAGAGGATGATAATCATGAGAAGTTATCATTTCACTCATTTGGGGATTTGAGACCTTGTTGGTGTTGCCTACATTCTCTTAGATATTAATCTTAGATATAACTTAAGAGGGTGTTAGGTATTAAAACATGTCAATGTTTTTCTTGAAGGTGAGTGACCTTTCATTCCATGATTCATTAGCTACTTTCATTGCTATTCTGATAGCACGACAGTGTTTCTCCCTGGAGGACGTCGTGCAGCACGTCGCGCTCCCCTCGCTCCTCGCAGCAGGTGACGGCATTTGTTATTTGATTGTGGTCTTGGTGGGATGGTTTCTAAGAAAACACTGAGAGTAGCATTTAAGGGTCTATGCACTGGGCAGTGGTACGGCCTCATGGTAAAGACGGCAAGATTGTAAATTTTGTTCTACACAAAGTGATATGGATCCTTTTGGATATTAATACCTGTATTTGAGGAATCGGTGGACATCTGGGTTTCTCAGAAAAGCATGGCCAGTGCCTTGTTTTTAACCGTAAGGAGCATTTATTTATTTGTTCCAGAAAGTATAGCTTAATAGAAAACCTGAAAACACGGTCTTGATTTTGTTAGAAAACTTGCTTTTAAAACCCTTTTTTCCTAGCTTGTGGAGACGCGGATGCCGAGCCTGGGGCGAGAATGACATGCCGCCTCCTGCTTCATCTCTTCCGAGCTCCCCAGGCCTGCTTATTACCTCAGGCAACTGGTGAGCTGAGCGCTGAGCAATCTCTGATGACATTTTCATTCAGAGCTACCGGTTCTAAAATGACCAAGTAGGCTGTCCATTCCGTAATATCCTTCCTGACTCTGGTGGGCCTGCTTCAGGGCGATGAAGGGGCGCAGTGATGCTACTGCGAGGGCTGTCGGCACCTTTCCCTTACGTAAGAGCAGGATGTATTGAGAAACTCAAATCCAGAGTTAACAAACAATAAAAATACTTTTGCTCTTAGGCCAAGCCATGCTGGTGGGCAGCGTGATCCTCTAACACACTATGTATGTTGGTTGTGAACCACACCATAGCAGCTTAGGGCACTGGTGATTCATCTACTCTTTCGCTCAGGTAGAAGGAATAAGGTGAGCTAGGGATGTTAGTGAAGGCTGTTTCTAAAGATATTTTCTGTGTTGGGGGTGCGCGCGCGCGCGTGTGTGTGTGTGTGTATGTGAGATTGCATGTGTGACGGTCAGTGGAAGTGGATGAAAATCCTACTGATGTTTTTGACACATCTCTCGAAGGAGCAAAGACATTATTTTCATAATTGAAAAGGAAAGGTTAAGTAAGGAGTACTGGCAGTGTTTCTTAGTAAAACCATGAAGCATCAATTAAAGCTAGCTAATGGCAATTAAGCACCCACAGTCTTAACAATGAAAAGCCCTGCTGACTGCAAATGGTTACAAGACTGTTAATGATGGTGATGAGACCTTAAAGGTTTGTTGTTACTCTCGTAGGCAAACCCTTCCCCGGAATAAGATCATCATGTGATAGACACCTCTTAGCTGCTGCTCACAACAGCATCGAAGTGGGAGCTGTATTTGCTGTTTTAAAAGCAATTATGATGCTTGGTAAGACTGTCCTGGCACTAAGCTTTGTTAATCACTTGAAGTTTAACTTGATTTAATATTATTAGAAATGTTTTTGTTGCTGTGGTTGTTTTCCTGGAAAAAAATGAGTTGGCTTTTCCCAAGTCCAGGTTTAATTGGACTCTGAGAAGTCTGGCCCTTCCTACAACATGGGTGGAATTCAAATATAGCACTGTTATTTGGTGATGTTTTAACTGCGTGATATTGCATTCTCATGTAATATTGATCCTCCCACCTCCCGGGTTGTTTTGCCTTCATTTTTTGGCATAAGTCACACTTTGTGATTGACATAGAAGACTTGGTGACCTAACCAAAGGTTTAAATTTCATGTTATATTCCAGGAGTAAAACACCAGAAAACCTGGGTTTTAATCTTAGTGTTCCTGTTTCCACTGTGACCTTGAACAAGTTCATATTTTTGTATTTTAGTTTTCTTAATCAATCACGTGATAATAGCATTGAGATTGATATTACTGATACATCAGTATTAGAAATCAGAATTTTTTTCATATAATTCATAATGTCCAAGATGTCTTCTATATTCTTATTTTATATCCTCCCAGAGTGGTTGTACTACCTTTTCCATTCATCTGCAGTAAAATACCTTAAGACACGTTTATTCTGTAAGTCAGGAGAATAATTGGGAAGTCTTGAATTCACACTAATTCCAACTTCAGGTTCCCTCTTTTGGCCTTCAGGACACAGAAGTTATCTCTTATGTTCTGAAGAAGCCCCCTTTGATTAGAGCAGAAATTACTTCATGGACAGGAATTGTCTTGGATAAGTCTTAAAGAGCATGTTTGAAGATATACCCTATCCCTTCATACTCCTACTTGGGAAGTGTTATTCAGTGATGACAGGGAATGAAAACAAGAGTTCTCACAAACAAATTATTAAGGGCTCATTTAAAAATATCTACACACATACACACACGTATATAATGTTCCTATTAAACACCCATGAATCGTGTATTAAAAGAAAAAGACCAAGTCATATGGAGGGGTACAGCCTCCTCTGAGCTCAGGCGTTTATAGAGTTCTACAGCCAGCATTGAATGGTTATCTCAGTAAGTAAAATTTCTGCACACTGATGATATTTGGTAGGAAAGATGGCTGGTCAATCCTGTTTAATTAATGTAAGTAGAGACCTTGAAATCCAGACTCCCGTTTTTACTGTGGTACCTAATATTCATCAGAGAAACTAAATAGATTTTCTATAAACTAACATTAGAAGTGTGCCTGCATAAGTGATAGCGTAATGGCAGAAACCAAAATGAATGCAATTTAGACATTGTCCCTTTTGATCTGGATGACTGGTTTGATTCTAAGTAAAATTGGCCAACCTGTTTAAATATTCAAATAACCATAGTTTACTACTTATGCATAATCACCAATTCATTTTTCTTTGATTGTCTCTCCTTAACCTTTTTTAATTGGCCTCAGTTCTTGGTAGATTTGACAGCATTCTAAGCCTTGAAAAGTTACTCAATTCTGAGAAGTCAGGATTGGGCTGGTTGAGTTAGAGCCTTGGGCTGGGTCAGCACTGAACACTCTTATTTGTTCTAGTGTCTGTATGATTGCAGATGGTTCTGACATGGCCTCCAAGTCATCCAAATGTCTAAACTGATTTGAAGATCTCCTAGTCTTGGACTAGCAGAGATGCTTGTTTCTTTGTCGTTGTTTTTGTGAAGTTTTAATTTATCTACCTCATGTGTCCTAAGCAATGTTTTCTCAAGTCCTGTCCATCAAGACCTATTTTGAGTTAAGACTGTTTTATAGAATTTGGTTTCTAATGTCTATAGTAGCTTAACTTTAAGATGTAAAAGTAATTATTTTTATTACCAAAGTTTGGAGAAAGCATGTTAAATTTTGCACATGTAGAATATGGCCTTTCTTTCAACTCCTAAAGAACTCTGTTAAGTAAACATATGTGGGTGAAATGAAATTGGTAGTTTTTCTATATTTTAATGAGAAATATATGATAATATATAGTAGGTATCAGTGAGTTGAAATGTATTTTTATTCCTCTCCTCCTTTTAATGATTCTGTAAGTAAACATTCAGTAATCAATTCTGATTTTTCAGATTTTTTCAGCAGAGTGAGAACTTTTTCTTGGTTGACCTGTGGTTTTAAAAAGGCTTTTTGCACTGACCTGGGCTTCGTTTCCACTCAGAGTAAGGCAGTGAGGGCCTCCTGTAAACGCATTTGTTGTTGGTTCTGGGAAATTTTCTTTCAAGGCTTATGATCCTGTAGGTAAACAGGCAAAAGTTTGGAGGCTCTGTGTCAGTTGGCAGTCTTTATTACCAAATTATTTTATTCTTGCACCTTCAAAATATGATAGTTATTTCTCTTTCACAGCTTGAGATTTCTTATTTCTAGATATTCAACCACTCTGCTCAGTTTTTCTTCCAGACCTTTTTTCTTTTTTTAAATAAGGAAAACACCTTCCTTAGCTTCATTTTAGTTGAGTGTATTAGAGATTGATGAGGTGAAGTTTTCTAATTTGATCTTTACAGAGAGGAAAGTGAAAGGCATGGGTTATTCAATGAATGCCCTATTTTCCAGGGCTTCCTTAGTATGCATTGCCCTTTTCCATTCCCAGGGAAATAAATCTCTCTTGTCAAGAAGTTGATAGTAAGGTGGGCTAAGGCAAAACTTTTCTCTTGACCTATGGATAGAAAATAAGTCATTGTAAGAGAAGAAATGGAAAAGGGACACCTTGAAGGGTGAGTAACCCATTTTTTCCTTGTCTACAAGTCAAAATGAATCTGAATATATTCATGCTTGAAATATTGGTGAAATCAATGTTCTGTGATTATTACATGTGATTTATAATGGCCTTTCCAAGTTTGGTGAAAACATACTTTATTCTATAAACAAAATAAAGATTGGGTTTTGAACTTGCTTTTTTTCCCCATGTCCAATGAAACTTCTCTGGATTCTCTCATTTATTCTCTTGATCCATTCTCTTCCATTGCTGAACAGCTATTCAATAATGATACCATTCACGCACTTGAAGTCCCTGAAAGCTTGCCTAATTTACTTTTTTAAATACTTGGCAATATTTTGAACTTGTGTGATTTTGCTTTTGTGATTCTGTTATTTAGGAGATGCCAAAATTGGCAATAACAATGTCAGCTCTTTAAAGAATGATGACTTCACCATGAGGGGTTTACGACGCGATGGGAATGCTGATGATATTTGGACTGCCTCACAAAATTCAAAGTCCTGTGGGAAGAGCATTTCCATAGAAACTGCCAATTTAAGAGAATATGCTAGATATGTACTGAGGACTATCTGCCAACAGGTATTGGCCTTTCACTTTGAATATGTAACTGTCCTTTTGGAGAGAGATTCTCGCTATTATACAAAACTTGTACATAGGTGGACCTTTTTTTTTCCTGCTAACTTTGTTTTGAAATAATTTCAAATTTGCTGAAAAGTTGTAATAATAATAAAGAACTCTAGTATATCCTTTATACAGACTCACTAACTTTTTGCATTTTGCCACATTTGCTTTTTAACTCTATGTGTGTGTAAATGTGGTCCATATACTTAAAAAATTTTTTTCTGACCATTTGAGAGTAGTTGACATACATTATTCTTTTTTGCTTTTTAATACTTCAGTGTTTATTAACATAAGCAAAATATAGTTTAAAAAAATCAGGAAATTTAGCATTGGTACAGTAATTTTTTCTCACCTATAGGCCACATTCCAATTTTGTCAATTGTCCCAATTATGTTGGATTTGTCTGAAGTTTCCTGTAGATTAGCTTCAGATTATGCATTCCTGGCCAAGATACTACAGAAGTAATGTTGTGTTCTTCTCAGGTAATCACATCTGAAGGCACATGATGTCCATTTGCACCTCATTGGTGATGTTAATTTTGATCAAGATGTCTCCATTGTATGATTTCTCTACTGTATAATTATTTTTTCCCTTACAATTACTAATTGGTCTTTGGGGAGACACTTTTAAGACAAAGCAAATATTCTCATCAAACTCTCTCATTCTTCCCTAAGGAAGAGCCTACCCTTACTTATTTTTTCTCTTATTTATATTTATTTATTTTCCATATGGGTTATAATTTACTGTGCCTTAGTTATTTTCATGTTCAAATTGTCCCAGATTTTTCCAGTGGAAATCTTTTCATGTTGGCTCTCATGTTATTTGGACATGTCTTTATCTTTTTTTAATTTTTTTTTTAAACTTTCTGTCTCCTTTTGTACTTTCCCTGCCCCAGACCTGGAATTATTCATTCCTCAAAAGAACCCTGGTCTTATTTAGTCAAGAATGGTATTTAGAATCCAAGATCAGGGCACTGTGTGTACTCATTGCCATGGGGCCACGTGTGTTCATTGCCCTCTCAGCAGACAGAGCTAAGAAAAAAACATCTACATAAATGTGTGGGTAGACCATGAGTTCATACTGATGTATCTAATTCCATTTCAACCCCACAAAGTTCTTTGTGTTCCCCCACTCCATACTAATACTCCCTTCTTCCACAGTAAGAACCCCTACTCCCCCAAACAGTAACCCATTTACTCCTTTGCTTAGTTCTATAGCATACCTGTAGTAGTTTCAGAATTCCTATACCCACGCCACAAGGAAAAACAAGCCTACTAAAAGGATTTGAAGATTTGTTTATAGTTCTTCCTTAAGGGTTTACAGTATTGTATTAAAAAGTCATTTGAATTTTCTCCTTCAGTGTGTATATTACTCACTTGAAATAGAATTCAGTATGTTTCTGTTTACATTCAGTTTAGATTTCTTTCTTCCCCCCATCTCTGTCTTTAGAATAGCACGCCTCCACAGGGTCAACTGTGCAAAAAAGGTATACTTAAGTGATGAGTCCTCTCTCCCTTATCCCTTCTACCCTTTATCTCTCCCCGTCTTAGGTGATCAATTTTCTTATTTTCTGGTTTAACTTTTCACGTCCTTTTTTTGTAATTTCTTTTTCCTTATCAAAAGAATCATGGCCTACCATATATACTCTTTTTCACTTCCCTAATGTTGACAGGGTCAGGTTTTTATTAAAGCATATGGTAACTATGGTAAAAGTTAGTTAAGTAGTTATATAGGTATTAAGAGGGTATTGAGTTGTGAATTGGTTCCCAACTGTGAGGGCACATGAGAATTAACTGAGGAGTTAAATATATATATATTTATTTCTAATACTTTAAGGCATATATATATGTCTTAAAAAAATGACTGCTATCTGGTCTCGCTACCTGATTGACCTAGTTGATTTGTTATCGGGCCTGGGCTCTGGAATTTTAACAGGCCCCTTGAGTGATTTTAATGGATAGCCAGCATTGAGCTACTGGTATAGTGGTTAAGAAACAGGTTTCGTTTGGAATAGATCCGGGTTCAAATGGGGCTCGGGGACAGTTGATGATTTCTTACATCATTTAATGGGAGTTTTCCTTTGTAAAAATCATGAAGAAAAAGTGATAGGAATTTAAATTGGTAGAAACTCTCTGGAGGCCAATCAGCCATTTGCGTCAATAGCCTTAAATTTTTGCTATACGTCTTGACCCAGCAGTTGCACTTCTCTGAAATTATTGTAAGAAAATAATTATACAGAGAATAGATATGCACACATATTTATAATCTTAAAATTTATAATAATATCAAAAAGGGAGATACTTTTTTGAATGTTATTCTATGTTCTATTCAGTAAAATAGAGTATAATGCATTCCATAAAAATGACATATTGTGATATAGACTCTTTGCCCTTATATAGCAAGTTAAAAATACTGATTACAAAACAGTTCCTAGAGCAAGAACCCATTTTCCAATTGAAAACACATACCAGTATTTTCCTTACTTTCCTTAGCTTTCTTTTCTTTCTTTTACTTTTTTTTTATTTTACATATCTGTGTTTTAAAATATTTTTAGCCAAGGTTTTACTTTGTATTTTTAAGAAGTTAAAATATTAGAAATTTTGTTCTTAAAATTTTGTCACCGTTTTTTTGTGTGTAGTATTTTATTAATTGGAAGATTCCTGTCTGCTTTATATTCCATTGTGTGCCATGAACTTAGTACATATTACATATGCATATAGAAAGTCTATGCCTACCAATCTAACTGCTGTATTATTTTTAGGAATGGGTAGGAGAACATTGCTTAAAAGAACCCGAAAGATTATGCACAGACAAAGAACTCATATTGGACCCTGTGCTTTCAAATATGCAAGCACAGAAACTATTGCAGCTTATTTGTTATCCTCATGGCATTAAGGAATGTCCTGAGGGGGACAACATGCAAAGGCAGCACATTAAGCGCATTCTGCAAGTGAGTGATGGTAATTTAAAGGTCATGTTTCTGTCACTTGACACATTCTTTGTAGTTATAACAAAAAATTACGATCTCTTTTTATCATTGCTAACTAATCTTCTCAACTAATTCAATTAATTCAAATTTCTATTCCCCCAATTTTCCTTTCTGTGTTATTGCCACACTTATTGCTGGCTAGCTAGAGATAGACACTACAAATTATGTGCAGTCATTATGTAAATATTGATACTTTAAGTCAGTACTGTAATTGCATGAAAAATAAGCTCTGGGGAGGGGACTGTGTTAAATGTCTTATTAAAAGAAAAATTGAAATCATTTTGGAATAGAGTCGATTAGATTTTGACAGAAGACATGTTTATCTTAGCTATTTCTAGTGCCCAGCTGAGTGAGGCACATAATTTAATGTTGCTATTTATTTCTTTGTGTTTACAATGAATATGTGTCATAGACTTGAAAGCCTTTTAATCCAATACCCACTACCTGAAAGTAGAGTGTTTCTGTGAAACCTTTTTGTAAGCAAAAATGGTAAAAAAGTGAAGAAGCAATTACTATCAATTTATATGGACATTTTTTTTTGAGCATTCTCGGACCCAAAATGTAATGCACACAAGTTTTTATTTCATTCACTACAACCGAAGTGGATTAATTACGTCAGCTTTATGCTAAGTGTAGCACTCTTACAAGCCCTCTTCGGCTTTTCTGATACTATAAGCTACACCTTGTTACCTAATGTGCAAAATAAGTTGAGGTAAAGCACCAGATGCTCACAGGCATGGTTCAGAGTCATGATGGCTCCATGCTGAGTGTGGTTCCCTGGGAAGGAGGGTAGCAGGGCCTCCCTGGCTGCTTGGGGTGCCTGTCTCTGTCACAGTTT